GTGATTCTTGGAAACTTTCATCGCTTTAGATACTTGAAGGAGGTAACATGAAAGGATCAGAGACAGTAGAAACGACGAGGGAAGATCTGACTGCAAGACCTTCAAAGTAAGCCACGCTAGAGCGCTTCATAATGCAGCTGGTGTGCTGACTCATCAAGGCACCTTCCTAGTTATAGTTTATTTTAATTTTATTCCAACCCCCATTTATTTATATTAGTAGTTGGCAACTGTAATTGCTGGGTGTAATTTTCTAAGTAAATGTGATGCCGTCGTGCTGATTTAAAATTTTGAAGGAAAGTAAATATTTGCACACAACGCTAATTTTAGAAAGAACGGAAAAGGATCAAAGCCCAGACAGAATCTGACAAAGCTCTTCTCCTGAAGTCTTCATTGGGCATCACTTTGGTCCCGGAGAACCAAGATGATCAGAAACTGGCTTCGCTGATGGTGCAGCATCGAACTATTAAAGGTTGAAACCTTTGGTTTAATGTTTAGCTTCTTGATTTTGTGCAAAGCTTGCTCAATCACCTCACGGCTGTAAGAGCACGAAATGATTAGCATGCTTTTTAATTAATTTTTGATTAACTAATGCAATTTATCAGTTAAGAATATCAAGTTAATGTATTAATTTGATGAGACTTCAACTTTTATCGAAGTCTTCCGAAACTATAAATCAGAACAAATAGAACACCCTACTGTCACCTAAAACGTTCTTAGAATTTCCATATGGGACAAGTGATATGTTTCTACAGATGATCAATAAAGGGTTAATAGTTACGATTTTATATGTAATTTTCATGTTCATTCAGGCACTGAAGAAAATTTGCGAAGCCGTCTTAATGAATTGGATCGTGAATCGGTGTTCAGTGTTGCTTCTGGTTCGAAACAGCGTAGCAGAACTCTCAGCAATTCTTTGCCAACGAAACAGAACGCTCTCGAAGAGCTGCGCAAGTCAGTTCTGTATTCAAAGGAGCAGAAGCTGATGGTCCAGCTCGACCAGGATCTGGATAACACCATCGATGAACTGAAAAAGAGTATCAAACACGATGAACCAACTTGCGCGCAGTCCAGTGGCTGTGACCAAAGCGAATTAAAGGACGATGAAAATTCTTCAGTGTCAGCCGAAAGCGAGTCGGTTTCAATCTCAAACCTCAGCTCTGTCGACCGTCCAGTTCAAACGGACATGCATAACGGACTGTCGATTTTGAGGACGTATTGCGGTAGTTCAAGTGGCAGTGAACTGAGTGACATCACGTAGTAACTATTGAAATCAACAATGCATGAGAGGGACGTCCCGGTGCGTATTTCATGGATCATAATACCCCGGCGAAATGGAACAAATGTAGGCAGAACAGATCAACTATGTTCTTTATTTCATGTGTTTCAAGCTCTGTTCTCAAAACTGCCTGCAGTTTTTTAATGTATATTTGTTTCTGTTCCAACCCTGTTTGCGATTTGTTATAAACTATTGTACAATACTAATTGAAGGAAATTAGTAAAGAAAAATGTCGTAATTAGAGCCTACCTAAAAATCATGATTTATTCAAACCTCAGAGAGCACTGACAGCGCGAGTAGATGCGCTCGGCGTGCAGTTTAATTAATGTACTTGGTCTATGTAATAATGACCAAAGATTCAATTTAGGGTCATTGAAGGAGGTTTCGAGTCTTGATCTATTGTTTTAGTATCGTTGCTTTCGTTCTGAGGGATCATCGCTAACTTTCTCTTGAAGCTGCACGCGCATCTTTTGCAGTGAAGTGCAGTTCCGCTCGTTGGCGTCATCTTGTGTCCTTCCTTGCAGTAGCCAAACACAACACCAAGTGGATTTTCCGCAGTCGTCAACAGAAATGACTGAACGTCGTTGGCGGATAGCTGAAAAAGTAAATTTATGCAGACAGTCTGATCATGGTATACACTTAACAGTAATAAATAAATTTGTCAGGGATATTATGAACAAATTGAAAATGGTAATGTTCAGCATAAGCATTTAAAAAACGAACAATGATGTGCACAGGTAAAACTTAAAAAATGTTGGAGATATTGCTGTAATAACTAAAAAGAGCGAAAACTAAATAACGTACGGTTACATTTGCTGAAGATCACACTGAATAGATATGTATTCCGAGGGAGGGTGGTCAAGAAGAAATGGAACCCCACGAGGCGCTCGCATCAGACATCTTGGCTCCTCATGCTTAACTCATCATTCTGGCCTGACCACAGAACACCATTC